TCCATCCTATAACACCAAAAAAATGGGGGAGAGGAAATCCTTCCCCACCAATGATCATAATGCTATTAAAAAGGAGGGTAATGGAGCTGAAAAGCAAAAAACAAAAGATCCCACTACAATCATAAAATTCATGAGGGGTATCTACCTTGTAGGGAAATTGTGACAGGCTTCACTTCCAGATTGCCTTTCTTTGCTCACAGATAATAGAGGAGTTGGCAGATGCCTTGGCTTACTGCCATGACAAGAAAGTGATTCACAGGGATATTAAGCCAGAAAATCTGCTTCTGGGATTCAGGGGTGAGGTGAAGATTGCAGATTTTGGCTGGTCTGTGCACACTCTCTCTCTGAGGTAGGTCTGGTGGTGGGGTGGGCCCTGAGTACTAGTTAGGAATGATCCATTTTAATTTATTCCACAAGTAAGACCAAGATACAAACCTGGGTTTATATTTGAATGTTGCTTTTTTCAAATTATTTTATTTTTAAATTTTATTTTGTTTATACATGTTTTAGAGACGAGGACTCACTCTGTCACTCAGGCTGGAGGGCAGTGGGGTGATCGTAGTTCACTGCAGCCTTGAACTCCTGGCTTAAGTGGTCTTTGTGCCTCAGCCTCCTGAGTAGTTGGGATTACAGGCGCATGCCACCACGCCCCACTGACTTACTGCCCAGGCTCCAAATCTTTCTTGATGCTGAGAATATTCTTGTGGAAACATTCTGGATCATAAGCTAAATAATTGTAGGAATAATTCCAAATAACGGATTTAGTAAGTCCTAGTACTTGCCTTCTCTTAACCTTGGTCCATTTAAAAAGTCTGTCTCCAAACCCCCGTGCTCAGGAGAGGACTGCCCACGATGTCCTAAGGTCTCCCGTCTCACTGGAAGCTGGGAAGGAGGATTTCCCTCAGCCTGGGCTTCCGCTCAGTGTTCCCTTCTCTGCCTTCCTCTAGGAGAAAGACAGTGTGTGGAACACTGGACTACTTGCCTCCAGAAATGATCGAGGGGAGAACATATGATGAGAAGGTGGATCTGTGGTGCATGGGGGTGCTCTGCTACGAGCTGCTGGTGGGAAATCCACCCTTTGAGAGCGCCTCCCACAATGAGACCTACGGACGCATCCTCAAGGTGGGATGGTCACACTTTGGGCATTCATCAGGGAGCTGGTTGGCTGCTGGGCCTGTGGGGACCAGGGCACACACACAAGGTTGTCTACTAAGGTCCAGAGTGCCTTGAAGGGACTCAAAAAAATGGAAAGAATATTGACCAAAGAAACTAACCAAACTTCTTTCTTCTTTCCTGGCTTCAACAGGTAGATGTGAGGTTTCCCCTATCAATGCCTTTGGGAGCCCAGGACTTGATCTCCAAGCTTCTCAGATACAATCCCCAGGAGCGGCTGCCCCTGGCCCAGATCCTGAAGCACCCCTGGGTCCAGGCCCATTCCCGGAGGGTGCTGCCTCCCTGTGCTCAGATGGCTTCCTGAGCCCTATCTGCCTCTGTTCCTTGCTGTTTGTTTAGGGAGCTCTCCTGGCTCTGCTACTTCATCTGTCTTCTCAGTTTCTTCTCTTATTAAATTAGCATTGTGTCTCTTAAAAAAGCTGAATAATTTTGCGCCAGGTCTTTATAGTTGTGCGAGTTAGTGTGTGACTATGCTGAATCTTAATTTCTTGTGGAAACTCTTTCCCCTGAGAGTTGCCCGAGATTATGCCCTCCTGCCCTGGAGATGGTGACTTCCCGCTCCTTGAAAACTGCTGCCTACTTTCTTGCAGATAAATGCCCTGAGGGTACATAACCTGTCACCTATCACAGTGGCTCTTTGACTCACTATTCCCCACGTGTAAAACAGGACTGTCATCAACACAAGGGTCCACTCTCTCTGTACTGACATTCAACATGCTGCTGTTTCTGAAATGTTTTCCTGCACATCAATGCCACTCAGTTCGCAAATGAATCCACTAGCACTTCAGTGTTGTGTCATAGTCTGCTTGCATCAGAATATGTCACCCCTGTAATAGATACATCATCACCTCTTCTGAAGTCACACTTCCCAGCAATTTGGGGAGTCCCCTTCCAAACATCTTCTGTAACCTCCTGTCACAGTTTTATGTGGCAGCTGCTCCCTGCATTTATTGCGATAAGCTGACTGTACCGGAGTAAAGATCCAGAATCCTCAGCTGTGAGCTCCAATATGTTTTCTGCTCAGTGCAGCCATTGTTTTCACCAATGTTTCTCTTGACTGAAAACACTTCGTATGGAGTTTGCCTTGTTAATATTATTCTCGCCGGTATATTCCACAGGCTCCTATCATTGGGAAATGTCCAGCAGACACAGGACTGATTTCTATTATAACTAGACCCACTACTTAAATAATTTAGCCACTCAGCTCTCAGATGAACAGCTCACACTGTTGCAGATCTGTAAGTTAAGGCACTGGCTCATGCCTTTCAACCTGCACCTTCAGTGCTTACATCTTTATGCTTTCTAGCTTCATCCTTAGTTTTTTGGAGTTAATATTTCAATTAAACACTTGAAAATTCCTAATTAACTGGTTCATACGTATGAACCCTGCAATTTATACATGTTAGGTCCTTGATAAACTCACATTGCTGGGCACATTTTGGGGAGAGAGAAAGGTAGAAAAATCACTAGGGCCACAACACTGACTAGCAGGTGATATATGTTTACATAATGAAAACTCTAACATGCTTTACACCAGGCATTGAAAAGTGTCTCCAATATGTACATAGTTTTCCTCACCTGCACTAATTCCAGGCATTCTGGACTCCCGTGGCAGCGTATATAAACATCTTTTTGTTTTGTTTTGAGACAAGGTCTTGCTCTGTTGCCTGGGCTATCGTGCAGTGGCATCATCTTGGTTCACTGCAACCTCAAACTCCTGG